AGTTTGAATTGAATGCGCGTTGCCCTGGGAACCAAGTCACTAAAATAAAGAATCTGATTGAATCCAATTCAAGAATCTAAAGTCCAGTTTACTCAGAACTTCTAGATGTGTCTTTTCACTCATTCCTTTGACTTTGGTTGTCTCCCAAGTGAAGGTAGGAGCCATGTTTCATATTTCTGAAACAGCTTGTTGTGCTGTGGATAACACCAGCTGTTCGGTTGGCTCTTTGGATTCTCGTACATCTGAATGCTGGTTCTATTTTTTTAAACGTGTGCTTGTAGACGATGTGTTTGTTCTTCTTCCAGGTGCTGTCCTGTTTTCGTTGGCGGGAGCGCCGTCACTAACGGAGTGGGAACAGCGACGTCCAAGAGGTGTGAAAATCAATCATTTGTTATTGAGGGAATCTGTCACCTCGGTTTTGTCAGAGGAGGAAGAAGTGTACTAAATTCTAAAAATACTGAAATCAAAATCTTACTTAGATATATAACAATTGAATCTGAATTTGTAAAGTAAATTAAGCTGTCAGATAAATGTAGAGGAGTAAAAAGCACAGTGACTAATAGCATTAAATGAAAGTACTCAGAGTTTTACTTAAATACAACACATTTAATACATTTTTCAGAAGCCTCAAGATAATTGTATTTGTTTAAATCAGAAAATATTTATTACTTTTGATCAAATCTTTAAAATAATCACTGACCAGCTGCGTTCATCCTACAGGTCATGTGACCAGTTGAGGTGTACGTCATGCGACTTCAAGGTGCTGATGTTCGATGACTGCGAGTGGGACCCGTCCTGCGATTACCTGTTCTTCAGGTGAGTTTATATATTGTGATTATCTTATATTATTATCTATGCATTACATTAATGCACTCTGTGTGTGTGTGTGTGTGTCTGTCTCTGTGTCTGTGTGTGTGTGTGTGTGTGTGTGTGTGTGTGTGTGTGTGTGTGTGTGTGTGTGTGTGTGTGTGTGTGTGTGCGTGCATGTGCGTGTGTGTAGAAACAATATGCCGGAGCGTCAGAAGCTGGGGTCGCGGCTGAGGAGGAGGAGAGGTCAGAGGTCGTACGCCTGTCAGTGCAGCTGGACCTCTGCGTCGGAGGCTGCAGACCTCAGGGATCGTCCTCGGCTCAGATGGGTCTGCGGCAAACACCACGACTGAGAAACTGAAACACGCTCTCCGGAGAACTCAGACGTTTAGGACGGAGGACCTTCTGCCGCTCATCAGCTGATCTCTGTCTCTCATTCTCCACAAAACACACCCTCAGACAGAGACATCTGCACAAGTAGGAAAGAACTTTTGGGAAGCTTCAACCCCGATGTCAGAATCAGAATGAGATGAAAACCTCAACGTACGGTCCCTCGGCCATAACATCATCACATGCTGCTTTTCATTATATCATGCTTTACATCCAGAGACCACTGTTGGCCTCTGAGAGGAAAAGTGATCGAGGCGTGAGTCAAGGGTTCAAGGCTTTTATTTGTCAAAGCTACAGTGTAGTTATGACGATGAAAATCTTCGGTCACAGGCTCCTCCAACAGAGCAACACAGATAAACACAAACAAATAGTGCAAGTCGTGAGTCAATACAAAAGGAAAAATAGTACAAAGTGTGTGGACAGGAGGAGGAGAAAGATGGAGCGTCTGCTGCCAGAGGACGAACCGAGGAACAGACATTACAGACAAACAGGACATGTTCGTGGACGGGTCAATGACGGGACATCCTGCTCCATAACATGTCTTCTGTCAGACTCATGGGAAGGAAACATCCAGAGTCCACATCCAACAGTTCATTCATTACTCCTAAACCCACCAACAGTTAGCATCACATGAAGCCTCATTTGCATATTTAAACATAACATGTCAGAAAACTTGTAATGTAAAAAGTAATCGTGTTAATGTCGGCGATGAAGTGGGGGAGTCTCACGGTGATATCTGTTCGTGACAGTTTGTTCCCTAATCGCATGAAGTGTGTACAACATGTGAGTTTAGCCCAAAACAAATCTTGTTTTGTGTTCATATCGACGTCGGGATCCGGAGTCGAGGCTGATCCTCCTGCTGTGGTCCTGTGTCCTGGATCCTCTATCCTGAGTTCTGGATTAAGTCGTGGACTTCGGGTCGTGGCTGATCCTGTCTCTGCGGTCCTGCCTGGGTCTCGTCGTGCTGCCTCCCTGAAGGATTGTTGACATCCTCGTGGATTCATCTTCTTATTATACACACATGCATTTCCAAACATTTGGTCTACCTATGTTGCAAATGTATTATCTTTTCAATTTACACACGGCATCTATTGCACGTCTGTCCGTCCTGGGAGAGGGATCCCTCCTCTGTTGCTCTCCCTGAGGTTTCTCCCATGTTCCCCTTTAAACTGTGGGTTTTCTCTGGAAGTGTTTCCTTGTACGATGTGAGGGTCTAAGGACAGAGGGTCTAAGGACAGAGGGTGTCGTTTTCTTCTCATACTGATATTATGAACAAACTGTGCTGTTCTATTTGCTGTAAAGTGTCTCTACTGTAGGCTATTTTTATTATATATATTGTACAGCACTTTGGCTCGACCACAAATCGTTTATAAATGTACTATATAAATAAAACTTGATTTGATTTGATTACAGTCAAAATGTGTTTTTTCATATTGTCTGAGCCATTTATTGAATTGATCTATT